GCTGCTGCACCAAGAGGCAGCAGCCTGCTGCTAGCCCTGTAAGACCCGGGCACTACTGCTACAGCACAGACTCCTCCAGCCTGCAGTGGAAGGCCCCTGTCCTGTCACACCACACAGCTCCATGGGATGACGATGGTGCTCATGGTGACCCACTTGTGTGCTTCCAATGGATAAAAGCCAGAGCGCATTTAGCACTTGAGATGGTTACTGCACATGTTAAGCCCATCCTACCTCTCCTACGAAGGGGAGGAGGTTTAAGTCATTGTCCATGTCTTGGGCTACAAAGTGCCAGTGTTTCTTCTGGCTCTGCAGGCAAGGGGAGAGCCAGGCTCACCTCAGAACCAGGCAGCAGCTGAGCACCTACAGACAGGCAAAAACCCTGGGACCAGACCCTGCTGTCACTTAGGTGTGAAGCCACTGTTTTCCCTTTCTGTTTACTGAACTAGAAAGTGAGACCTTACACGGTTTCCACCTTCAGAAAACAGCTGCAAAGTTACTGCTGTTTCAAACTGCTGTATAAGTTAGGTATCAGGACATGTCACAGTACTGTAAAGAGTTTGTCACTGCAGGAGTTTGTCAGGGGTTAATTCCATGTGCCAAGAAGCACTAGTAAGAAAGATGGGGGTTTGCCTCCACCAACTCAGCCAACTGGAAGTAACCCTTTCCTTCACTGCCCTTCCAGATTTAGGAAGGAATCAAGCAGCTGAAGCAGCACAGCCACTGAAGGAAAGGTCCCAAATAAACAGAGTATCAGAAGAAAATAAAACACTTTCTCAGATGCTGTAGGGAACTTGTGAGAGCAGGACAGGAAATCTAAGAAACACATTAGTAATTTAACAGTGTATGGACAGAGCAGAGAATTTTCCTTCGTTTCAGTGGCTAAATATTTCAACTAGCTTTTAGCACAACTTCTCTGGGCCTCCATTTAGCACTGGAAAATTTTTATCTTTCTACATGATGCTTTGGAGCACTCCTCAGCCAATACTGTTTTTACCAAAAGACGCTATTTTGCGTGGGTGTTTCTATGACATATTACACTGATGTTGGAGCTTCTTTGTAAGTTAATTCCTAGGCACAGATTTATTAGACATTACCCTTTTCATCAGCAGGATAGTGGCTAATACAGAACAAAAATTGTTAAGTGGGATCTTTACATGTGATTAAGTGCTAGTAAGTCAATCAGCTTATTAGTGATATTTGCTGCTAACACAGATCCAGGGAGAGACACCTGGAGGGGGGCCTTCTACGCAGCCATACTGGCAGTGTAGGTCAGCAGCTGACCTAGGTTCAGATTGTTTCAGCTGGGCTTACTACAAACATCGGTCCGTTTCCTGGTCCAGTTGAACCCGAGCACTTGTGCCCATACACTGAATAGCTACAGCCTCCTAGTCCCAGCTGCTTGTATTTGGATCAGACAGTCTGCATTTTTAGGAGCCTAATGACAACTCGTTGTCTTAGGCACATCAAATCACAACAGTTAAAAGCTGCTTAAATGCTTCTGGATTGCAGGACTGTGCTTTCACAGAAGCAATTTTAAACTCAACATGGAATAGTGTCATAAGTGTGACTTTTTAACAGTCTTCACGAATTAAGAACATTCTTGTAGACTTTCACGATTCCTAAGGATAATTATGTGACAAGAGTTGGGAATAAAGATCTACAACACAGAACAACTCCCGGTCCATGCACAAAATAATGCGTAATTTTGTGAAGTATGACTGTTGTAGTACTCACATGTGATCCATAGCAAAACAGGTCCATACCCAGTTCATATCCCATTCCATAGTCACATTCATCATTAGCAAACTGAACAAAGGTGAGCATCTCTTGAATGGGTGCAAAGGCCTTCAGTCTCTCATCATCAGTAGGAGCATCAACAATGGCCTTACAAATTTTTTTAAGATTAGCTGCAAAAAACAAAAGCAGAAATATTTAGACATTTAAGTAAAGAAACGTAATATTGCACATAAGTAGTCTGTGGCAAAAATATACCTGTGTGTCATGCTTACACACAGACTTAAGTGGGCAGACCCTGAACTGCTAGTGAAAAAGCTTCCCCCTTTGCTGCTCATTCTTGCCCTGTGCCCATCCATCTCAGCTCCCTGTACAGAGACAGGCACTTGTGTGGTAAACCTGCATCAAGGAACTGATTCTGGTTAGAACACCACTGGGAGAAGAGAGGAGATAAGAAACAAACCCACAAATCCCTCAATGTAGATCAGTTTTTTGGATCCACTTAATGCATGGCTGTGCCAGTACAAAAGAGACAGACAGCTGTCTACACTACTACTTCAGGAAATACTATTTTAGATTTAGCATGTTTCATTGGTTTTCATATGGCTTACTTAAAGAAAATACTTTGAGTTCAAGCATGATGGTTAAGACTTCTGCCTTTTACTCCCACCACTCATTCTGCAAGTATGAATCAGGAATGCAGTCTGGTTTTTGCAGAGTGGCTGTGTGACTAAAGGTTGTTTAAATAAACCAGAAGAATATAGTAAACAAGGTATTTACCATTTGTCTCGGGAAGTTCTCTGTATCCGACATCGTTTTTGTCTACAGGAACAACTAGGCCTGCTCCATGAAATGCTTTGGTCACCACCTAAATAAAGAGACAGGAAATTGAATATAGCCCTACACGTGAATACCGTGACATAAAACCACTCACCTCACTAAGCAACATTAACACTTGACTGCTGGTGGTCAAACCTAATACAGTGCCCAGGCTCCAGGGCATCAACTTAACTTCAAATTACGAAGCAGTTACTTTTACGTGTTGCAGTTTAAAAATAACCAGCGACACCGTTTCAGTCAAGTTCTGAAATCTAAGAATCCTTGTCATTAAACTTGAGTAGCACTGTGCTACACTTGTTTAGCCACCTCCTGCCATAATTACTTCTGACAGATATGTGAAAAACCTCTATTTCTAATCTGCATTATCCTTAATGGTCCTATTTCCAATAGATCCAACCCAGCTGTTTACATGAACCTTCACTTTGCAGCAGTTTCCTCCATGGTCCCCATTTGTTTTAGTTTTTAGACTATTTCCCCTATTGTTTTTTTTCTTTAATTTAATGTCAAGCTATGGTTTACAAGAGTAAAGTGTTTTGATTTAATCCTATTATTTGGAAAACACTTGTATTAATCTTCCCTCTCCTGAAGTGTTAGAGAGAGCCGATTAGCTCTGGAAATTCCTAAATGAAGCATCTTTCCTCACTAGAAGGAGGAAAAAATAAATAAAAGAAACAGGCATGTAAATTAAATAAGTTTAACAGAACTTAGTTCTCTCCAGTGGATCAGGAAAGTCATACTTTCTTATCTCTCTGTTTCATCTTCATGGTTTTTTGTTCCAGAGAATAACCCAGTTCTTTTGCTGTTCTTGTTAGTTTTTCATCTATGTCTTTCAAAATAGCAGTTTTCTTTTTATCGGTCACTTCCTTAAGTTTTTTTGACAAAAACAACCTGCAAACAGAAGAAACATGTCTTAAAAGAGCTTAACAGAAAACAAACAAATAGCCTTCTGATCACCAAACCTCCCCATCTTATAATGAAGATTAGCAGTCATGGGTTTATTTATTTATACACAGACTTGGGAATGCAATCTTCTTAACAACAAGAAAGAAAAAGAAAGTTTGGCACAGACCGTTCTTCGGCATTTCCTATCAGTATTTGCATTACAATACAGTTTATGCAATCTGCAGCTGCTGAAGAGTCTCCCGGACTCAGTAGGTGTTCATCTTTATCTCAGGAATTCAGTTTGCTGCTTCAGTGCACTACTTGTCATCCAAGTCATGCATATAAATACATATTTATGAGTTTCATCATCGTGCTTTCAAAACAAGTGTCCTCATTTAACTCTGCACCATGCAAGGGTTCTTTTGCTGAAGCTTTTCTTCAGTATGCTTTCACTTACTGACACATGTCTGTCCTTAGACAGCTTTCCATTTTTAACTGACAGGTGATGAAATCTGTTGTTTACATTCATGATGCAGGACCACGTAAAGCTTCATGAATCATACTGAATTACATATCCATATAAATTGTTATCCTGCCCCAGGTCAGAAATAGTACTTCTTGTAATAATTTATTATATACAAAAATAATCTCTTTTTGTGCAGGCAAGAACAAGAGCTAGATGCTACTCATTTAGTAGGATATTCAGATTGCCTTCACCACTGTTTGGGATGCCCTTTCTTTACTTATGAAGTATTTTAACACACCCAGTGGGCATTTTTTATCCTGTAGAGCCTACCCCTGCCAATATATTTAAAAAATGACATTATTAACTCTTAGCTGTTTTACTCGTAAAAGGAAAACACTGTCAAGAAGCCTATTAAGGCTTTTGAGAGTATCTTAACACTTGCTAGTAGGAGCAGAAAATAAGCGAGGGTTTCTTGAAAACAAAGATACATAATAAGTGAGCTGCATTAATCCACATCACATCTCCCAATTAACAGTTTATCTTCTAGTCTACTTTTTATAAATAAAAGTAAATATGAACCTTACTTGACTGCAGCAAAGACATTATCACCAACTTGTGAAATCACACAGCCCTTCTTGGCTTCATTTGCACCAACCCAGACTGGAAGCTCATCTGGCACATCCCTATTTATGAAAACGTACACACAAATAGTCAAGCTGTGTCCATTTCTCCTATTTCAAAGTAAAATTAAGTTGCCTCCTCACCATGCTGCCATCTCCTTCAGAAACCCAACAAGAAACGCCCTTAGATCTAAAGCGCTAACATGTTACAGCATGGCTTTGAAAGGAGCTTGTATCAATAAATACAGAGACAATACAAGTTCCCTTTATTTTGCAAGGCTTGACTTCTAAGTATCATGGCAAAAGTTAAGATTAATAAGTGAAGGTCCTCTGGAGTGTTGGGGGAGGTAGTTTAATAAATATTTAAACCTAGTCTTCAACTTCAGTATCTTTGATCTTTTTTAATAAGATATCAACCCATGCATTAATATCCTATTACAGAAAAGAAACATTCTTGTTTGCTGATAGCACACAGTTCTCAAATACTATGCTGTGGAAAAAGAGAGGAGAAAGCTACACATAATTATACTCCAGCAAGAGCATATATTAAATAAAATACCTGAAATATCCCATGTGATACTGTGTTTTGCTATCCCCTACAAGTATAGTCTGGAATTCTGGGGGATCATAGAAGAATCGCCAATGAAGATTGAAGTCCACATCTGGTGATTTTGCTTTTTTGTGTTTTCCAGCAAGAATATCATATGGTCCAACCAGCATAAGTCCAACACTTGACACAAGCGCATCTGAAAAGCAAAGCATGAACTGGTTTACTTTCTGGTGGATGCCCATCTAAACCAAGAAGTTCCTGTGTCACTCAGGTATCAAAAGCTTCCATAGATCCAAACAGTCAAACACTGTTTACCAGACAAGAAAAGCTGAGACATTATTTTGATCAGACGGCTTTCATTCAAGAGTTCGGTTATTACACTTCTAAGAAGTAACAGTCAACGGCTGAATGTCCAGATGGAGATCAGTGACAAGTGGTGTCCCTCAGGGGTCCGTATTGAGACCAGTGCTGTTTAATATCTTCATCAATGACAGACAGCAAGATCAAGTGCATCCTCAGCAAGTTTGCCGACGACACCAAGCTGAGTGGTGCAGTTGACACGCCTGAGGGACGGGATGCCATCCAGAGGGACGTGGACAAGCTCAAAGTGGGCCTGTGTGAACCTCATGAGGTTCAACAAGCACAAGTGCAAAGTCCTGCATCTGGGTCAGGGCAACCCCCAGTATTATATTTTGATATACAGGCTGGAGGATGAAGGGATTGAGAGCAGCCCTGCCGAGAAGGGCCTGGGGACAAGAAACTCAACATGACCTGGCAATATGTGCTCACAGCCCAGAAGGCCAACAGTGCCCTGAGCTGCATCCCCAGCAGCGTGGCCAGCAGGTCGAGGGAAGGGGATTCTGCCCCCTCTGCTCCACTCCGGAGAGACCCCACTAGGAGTCCTGCATCCAGCTCTGAAGCCCTCAGCACAGGAAAACCATGGACCTGTTGGAGCAGGGCCAGACGAGGCCACAAAAATGATTTGAGGGCTGGAGCACCTCTCCTGTGAGAAAAGGCTGAGAGAGTTGTGGCTGTTCAGCCTGGAGAAGAGAAGCCTGTGGGGAGACCTTACTGCGGTGTTTCAGTACTTAAAGCGCCCCTATAGAAAAGATGGGGAAAATCTTTTTAACAGTGCCATTACAAGGAGTTATGGTTCTAAACTAAAAGAAGGTAGATTCAGACTGGATATAAGGAAGAAATACTTTACAGTGAGCACGATGAAACACTGGCACAGGTTGCCCAGAGAGGTGGTAGATGCCCCATCCTTGGAAACATTCAAGGCCAGGCTGGATGGGGCTCTGAGCAAGCTGATCCGGTTGAAGATGTCCCTGCTCACTGGAGGTGGGTTGGGCTAGATGGCCTCTAAAGGTCCCTTCCAACCCAAAGCATTCTATGATTCCATGGGAAACTCATTTCTAGAGCACCTACGGATGCCACATTCTGTTATATAATAAATCCGAGGAACCTGAAACCTGGACTGGTATGAGGAAACTTCAGTTCCATACTAAACATTTTAAATGTACTTGCAAGCAAGGCAGATTTAGACAGCATTTAGTCCCTTTGTATTACATGATTTAAGTACTTACATTTTAGAAAGCCTGAAGTGTACTGACATCTTTGTGATTATCTCCAGTATCCTTGCTTACACTCCTGTAAATATCCTGCATCCTAACTGAAAACTGAAGCAGCAATAGAATGCATCTGACCACCTGCAGTCTGCCTGCCTTCAGGCTGTTTTCAAAAGTTAGAAAAAGCAAAAAAATATTTTAAAACCCACCACTTGGTTTCTCAGGGTCTAGTTCCTCACAAAACTTCCAAAACTGATAGAAGTCTTCAGGCAGTCTAAGCCGATAGCATGTCTCTGCTTCTTGACGAAGATTATCAGGGATATCTGCCCGATTTGACCTTCTTTTCTTGACATCTCCATTTTTTTCACACTACAGATAAAAAAACCAAACAAAGTTCATTTAGTTGCTGCCTGTCGGTTATACTAAAGGATTTTACAAAGCTTCTGTATTACTGGAGGAACAATGATTAAGACCATTATGTCACGCTTGTTACTTACAGCAGCATATATACAGATTAGAACATCTGTTTTGGACAGAATCCCTTAAAAGTGCATTATCTGAGACACCTGCTAAACATGTATGAAATAGCAAAGTGCTACTGTTATACTAAGGAATGAAAAGGGGAATCAAAATGTGAAAAGATAATTGAAATTAACCAGACTACTGCTGCTGTAGGTATTTTTGTTAAGACCTACCCTTATTAAGGTTAAAATTAACTACAGAAACTAAGAAACAGGATTTTGAATAATGTGTTATTGTTTCATTAGAAGGATGTACCTGTCCAAAGTAGAACCAGAGAGTGATGAGTCCTAAGAACAACTAACGAGCTATGAAAAGCTGCTGAGATTGCCAAAAGGAACAGGTAACTAGGGGAAAGGTAATTCTGGCAGGGGAAGATCGTGACCACCGACTGGCAGACCACCTACCCCAGACTCAAAAGATGAAGACACTGAGCATGCGTACTAATTTACATGCTGGACAAAAACTTTAACCAATCATTTAATAGAATAACAGCGCATATGTATTAGGAAGATGAATATGGTAATATTAAGTGTATAAACAACTGTTGAAAACAGAACAAGGCGTGCTGCCTTGCGACAGACAGCGATATCTGCGCAGATATGCGGTAAGATACCTCTGCTCTGTGTGTCTATTGGCACATTGCACGGCGGGTAAACAAACCCCGTGTTTTTGGGACAACATTACTTTGATATCAACAAGTCACTATAACCAAGAGAAGCACTTTTATTAGTTAATCAGGCAAAGGACTAAGCAATCCCAAAGTTTAATCTAAGCTCTACATGACTTTAAAACGACCATTCCCAATCACACACAGCTTGCATCCAAGAAACTGGTGTGTTTTACAGACGCTTGGAAGCAGGGACACTCTTTTGTCATCTCTTGTTAAGTAACACAACAGAAATCCTCCAAGGCTCTACTTTCCAGACTACTCTGCTATTCGGCATCCGAACTGCTGCAGTTCACAGCACAGCGTTTTCAGCGTAACGTAAAAAGCTGAAGCTGTTTTAAAAAGCGATGTAACAGGAACCGAACCAGGCTAGGAAATGACCCATTCAAGCACGCACAGTGCCGAAGCGGTAACCTCAGCGACCTCGCTCCCACATCAGGCTCCAAGAACTGGCAGGAATCAGTAACCTCCTGCTCTAAAGGATTAGGGGAAAACAAAACAACAACAACAAAACCCCAAGGTTTCTCTCCTCTCGCCCGGGCAGCGGAAGGAGGCAGACTCCTCCCCCC